AAGACATTCAAATGTGCTGATCTCGAGTTGCGAAAAATTTGGAAGTGTATTCAACATCCATCTGTACAAAATTTGTTTTCTTCCCACGGTATAACATGGAAGTTTATTGTGGAAAAAGGAGCATGGTGGGGAGGGTTCTGGGAAAGGCATTTTAGAACGATCAAAACTTGTTTAAGGAAAATAGTTGGACGTTCTAGTCTCTGTTTGAATGAGCTAGAAACAGTCTTCGTAGAAATCGAAGCCATAATTAATTCAAGACCCATAACGTATGTCTACAATGACCCTTCAGAACCCTCACCGCTAACTAACTCCTGCTCATTTTTTAATTGGTAAACGTTTACTTTCTCTTCCAGTTACAAGAGTGTGCAGAGAAGACTTGATTGGGTCTAGACATTCCTTGATCAAAAGGTATAAACATCAACAAACCTTGTTAAACCACTTTTGGAATAGGTGGAGGAAGGATTACTTGCTTTCTTTAAGATCTGTGAATTTATGTCCACCTACTAAAGTGTCTGGTCAGTTTAATGTTAATGATGTAGTCCTTGTACATGACGACCGTTTACCTAGGAATTTGTGGACACTAGGTAAGATAATAGAAACTTATCCTGGCAGAGATGGTCAGGTTCGCTCTTGTCTCATTAAAACTCAAACAGGTAATCTAAAGAGACCAGTACAATTGCTGTACAACCTTGAAGTGCATAATTAGTAGTAGTAAAGAGTTACAGTGTAATAATCTAATTTGTTGTTTGCACATATATCATCTTCTGAAGTATCTTTATTGATTGTTGCTAAATGTAGTTTAGTTTATATAATTATTGCGAATTTTGATTGATTTAGTATAATGTTTCTTATTTAGTAATTACTTTATAAGTTTGATTTAACGTGTTTAAACATTACTTAATTGTTATTTGTATTTGATGTAGTTTATATAGTATTCAAATGTTGTGTTTGATTTAGAAATTACTGGTTTATTTTGTATTCGGTTTTGTGTGAACTTAAAGAGTTCACAGGTGGGGAGTGTTGTAAAGAGAGAAGTAGAGGGCGCTGCTTGGCAGTAGCGCAATGCATGTAAGTAGAAACGAAATGTCGTTTGATTAGGCAACATGATTTCTGTGAAGGTAGTCCACCTAACAATAGGACAGTTGTAAATATGTAAATATAACGAATAATAAATAGCATTAGAAAAACTGAACCATCGGATGTTTTGTGATTGCTCTACGGGCCGCCATGGATAAATGCAGGGTCGTACAGGCGTTCAAAACGTTTTAAAAATTGTTTTAAAACTTAGAAATCAGTCTTTATTTTTTGAATGTTTTCTTGACATAGAGCACAGTAATTTCGGTAATTTTAATTTAATAACTTTTAATTTTTGTGTTGAACTCTCTTCAGTATGTTTTTTAAAATGTTCTATTTATTCGAAATGCGATTTTAAAATATATTATTAATATAAATTTTCCAGGAATTTGATTTTATTATTTGCATTGCGTTTCTTTCGGAAGAATACTTTGTGACCGAGACTACGATGCGTTTGAAAACTGCGTATATTAAAAGAGAAAATATAGTAAAGCACAGTTAACAAGCCTTTCAATGTTCCATTTAGAAAAGATATATAAATAAGAGATATACACTGGTGTGCAAAACTTAAGCAACAGGTGTTCTTTTTGGCATAAATCCACAAGATATCATCTGAGAGAGAGGAAATTCAGAAACAAGAGACAGTATTTTGTATTTAAACCATGATGAAAGCATAATTGCGCAAAAATGAATACAATGCATACAGAATGGAATTAAACATAAACAGGCCTTATTGAACTCATAGTATCGTTACACACGATTGTTTGTACAAGAGGAAGAACAACAAGCAGATGTTCCTTAGTATGGGATATGCCCTCCCCTTACTGCAATGGTTGCTTCTCACCGTCTCCCCATACTCAGCACCAGATTTTCCAACAGATCTTGAGGTGAGAGTGCCCATTCCTCAATCAGCATCTGTTTCAGTTGCTGGGTGTTCGCCGGAGGATGTAATCGTGATTCAAGGCGTCTTCTCAAAGCATCCCACGCATGTTCTATGGGATTTTAATCAGGGAAGTACGCTGGCCAATCCATTCGAGTGATATCTTCACTTTTCAGTAGCTTCTGAACAGCAGGAGTCCGGTGTGTCCGTGCATTGTCATCCATAAAAATGAAGTCTGGTCCAATTGTACCTCGGAACAGATGCACATAGGGTAGGATAACCTCCTGAGAAAAGCGATCTCCGGTTACAGAACTTCTGTCGAAAACGTGGCACTCTGTCCGCCCTTTCAGCATAATGCATCCCCAGTCGAGATCTCCAGGACGCCGTAATGGTCTCTTCCGGATGTTACTGAATTAACCGTTGTTCTTAACTCTCTCCAAATAAGTTGGCGTTGAGAATCGCTTGGGGCATTAAAACGACTCTCATCCGTAAGAAGGAGACGACTCCATTGATGAGATGCCTAGTTTTTGCGCTCCTTTCACCACTCTAAACGGTGGCGCCGATCGCCAACTTTCAAAGGGATGCATCGTTCAGGACGGCGAGCGAATAGGCCATCTTTGTGAAGGTGTCTGGACACAGTAAACCACGAACAATTGTCTCTGGTTGCTGTACACACTTGCTGAGTTGTGGAGCTTACTGACTGGTTTGGGGCTCTTTTCGCCTGTAGGACGATATATCGGTTATCTTGCTGAGTTGTTGTCCTGGAGCGGGCACCACCAACCTTTCTAATAGCTGTACCTGTGGTTTGGAAAGCTTTCCAAGCCCGCGAAACGACACTTTTGTTGACTTCGAAATCTTCAGCCCCACTGGTCCCACTACACCCGTCCTCCAGTTTTCCGATCATTCTTCCACTCGTGAAGTCATCCAGATGATTTCTTCTAGCCATATTTCACTGTACTTGCAGCGAATGTCTTTAATTGCGTCTTCGTCCTTCCTTTCATGGTAGTCTCGAGTGGAGCGCACGCGTTTTGCGTACGATCACGTAACCTGTAATGTTTTTTTCCGAACATTTGCATATGCATGACCTTTCTACTGAATTGCGTGTTCATTGTACCGATAGTAAGAAGCCCTTTTCTGCAACTGCATGGTTATCTGATTAAAATTCGCATTGTTGCTTAAGTTTTACACACCAGTGTATATATCCGACATTTTAATTTAGGATGACTTGCATACATTGCTTTAAACAGTTTTATCATTGTACCCATTGGTTTGCACAATTTAATCATCCTATATTTAATTTCTTAAAATGCTATTCATATTTTAGTCTAATATTTTATTTTTGAAATCCCAAGAATCAAATATAAAATTTAAAAAAACTTAAATTTAAAAAATACTAAATTTAATGCAAAAATTTATTTTGTCTTCTTAATGGCTTGCTCTTTTTTTTTTTTTTTTTTTCTTTTAATCATTCTGCAATATTAAAAAGCATCGAACTTTTCTAAACATATTGGAATTTCTGACATTAATTCTAAATAAATTTATCGCCTTCCATTTCAAATGGGCCCACAAACGGTCGAGCGATAAAAGTCGCTAAATACTAGTAGTTCTCTCAATCCAAATCAATCCATTTCATCAGTATTTAGTCAGAGCCTTTATCAGTCTTTACAGACTAAGCATTTTGAAGGCGTGAGATGAAAGGAAAGACTGATTTCATCAAGATGGAAAATGTCTTCAGATGATATCTATATACGTCAATGGATAAATTCTGAAATCTTTAAATAATTGGACTGAGAAATCATAGGATGCTTCGTTTATGATTCGATATGATATTCTATGAAGTAAATTAAATTTATACAACCATATAGTCGAAAACCAGTCGCTCTTCACTTTAATCTGCAATGATATCGTTTTTGTCTTTTCTGTTAGCACAAACTCAATTGCTGCTATTCGCTGGTGTACACGTCCAAGTGTTTTCTCTTTGAACATCCAACTTCCTTGAAGTAAATTCTCCTTTACATTTTTGCTTTTTTTACCCTAATTTTCTTCCTCTTTACATCTACATTTGTTTTCAGTGCTGACACAAAATTAAGATTTTTTGATTGTTACACTTCCATAAATTTTGCATTCTTGTCAATTTTTTTTAAATATCAGTTGCATCAAATGCGTCTCGGCTGAAGACAGCTTTTCATTTTCTAGACATTTTAACAATAAATAAATCAAAGTCCAAAGGATAAGCATTTGAATTAAAAGATTTTTGTTAAATGAGAAAGAAATAAACCATTCCAGCAACTCTTATCCTGTACCACCGAGTAACCCGATTCTTATATCGGATGCAAACAATCTAAATTATATTATTTAGAATTTTTAAGCCTAATAATTTCTATATTAAAGAACATGCTTTTTGTATAATCTAAAACACGAGAGGAAATTACTTTTTAAAATATTCTTTTAAAGGGAATTAATGAAAAAACTTATATTTATACATATATTTTTTAAGCTGGGACATGACCCAAAATGTCAGCGTCCTGTTTGCTTGAAAACATTGTGAAAATAAACATCAGACGAACTTTCTCAGATTTAGACAATTCAATTTAAATGCAATTAAAGTAATGTAGCAGACGATAACACGGCGAAGGTCAAAATTACTCTTACAAATATTAAAAAAAAAAAAAAAAAAAAAAAAAAGAGAAGAAAGAAATTAAAAAAAAAAAAAAAAAAAAAAAAAAAAAAAGTTTAAAAAATTTGAATAATATCATCAATAATTTTTAAAAAAATAGCTTTTTATATAGTATTAATAAATATTTATTGCGCATTCATTGAGGGAAATCATTTCATATAATTAATTCTGCGTAAAAATGTATTTGAAATTTAAGGTTTAAAAATAGCTGTGGCAATTCATGGTAAAAAAATCCATAAACCACATTCGGCGTTATTATCTCTAAAAAAAAAGGGGGGTCTAATGTCAAAATGCTTTCATAATGCAACCACTTTCAAAAAGCCCTAATTCACTGAACAATGTTTTGATATAAATGTATTTTTCTAACAGTTAGGAGGTATCCATGCTAGTGCTCTAACTACCCGTGAAGATGGAACTTTTGATATGGAACAAGTGGTTAATAAAATACGGCCTCAAAGACCAGCTGCTCATGAACCACACACAGCTCTTTTATGTCTAGAAAACACTCACAACAGATGTGGAGGAAGGGTACTACCTATTTCTTTTATTAAACAGGTAAGCGTATAACTTCAAAATGGAGCGAAATCGTAGTTTAGAGTTTACCTTATTGGTTATTAATATTTTCTCAATTCGAATTAAATTTGTGCATCGTAAAAATCTCTTTTGAGCTAGATGTATGTCAGTTTCATCTACCTCGTGGATTTAGATTATACGTAACTACTTTGTCGCTAATGGAAAATTAAAAGTGTTTGTTTAATTTTTCCATAATATCTTATGTTT